ATATTTGATGTAGGCTTATTATATGACTACAGCTATACATTATCTGTTCGACTGGTCAAGCTAGAGGCTTGAAGTTTCGGTAGCAGTGATGTTTATTTGTTTTTACGGGATGGGGTTACTAGCCTCATGTCCAACCTCTCCTCTTCACCAATCTTATTACTGGCTTAGTGAGGTAAAGGAGTGTGTCGGTGGCTGGGGATCGAACCCCGAACCACACGAGGCGTGACTGACGAGCATTCTACCACTGTGCCACCGACGCATTGACTGGTTAATAGAACAGTTGAACTTCCATCCTGTTATTCTTATAAGGCATAATGTCATATATAGATATTTATAGATTTGTAAACGTTCATTTGCACCCGCCAACCCCCTCACCCTGCATATGAAGTGAAATAAGGTAACAAAGATGTTGATGATGAATTCATCGAATTTCGTTAGGACTCGTACTCTTCAGCTGCTGTGAACACTACATACAGTGTACTATTCTATAGACTATGAAGGTTTGATACAGAGGGGGGATATGTGTAACCACATTGAATCAGTTACAGGAAAACGAAAGGTGAAAATTATAATAGCTTTATTTTGAAAAGTTTGTTTTAAACATAGTATAGAATTTTCAGCTTGCTTACAGTACGAGATTTTGTAACGGTGGAAGACAAGAAACTTGGTAACGGAATATTTGTTTGGAATTTGATATCTGTATGTATATAGGGAAATTATGTGCATCTTATCTGAAAATCGCTACTTGCTGCACATATCTTCCTCGTTGTGCCACTTCTGCCCTTCGTGTATTGTGTTTTTGTTTTTGTTCCTTTCAGTGTCTCCCATGTTTTACTGCAATACTGCATCATCTTCTTTCTTTGAAATCAAAATTATCACTCCGCTATTTGATATTTTTGTGCTTATTGACGTCTCTTTATACACTACTAACAAATCCTTTCAGTAGCACACGTCACACTGTTTGCCCTTTTTTCAAGACCTTCGAGTAATATAATAATAATAATAATAATCGATAATCGATAATAATAATAATAATCGATAATCCATCCTTTAAAGCAATATTTTTCCATCCAAAGCAGGCTCTAGTACTTACTCCTCCAAGTTTTCCCTTCATTTCTTTCAAGAAATTCTCAGTAATAGGTTAAACCATCTCTGGAAATGTGCATGATATCAGGCTACGAATTCATGAAGACGGAAGCTGCTGATTGGTTAAAACAATAGTATGCATTGGGAGTAAATATGATGCATTTTGATGGATGAAAAACTAACTTGGC